GAGAGAAGGCCCCATAGCACAGGAGCAGCTGAGGACACAAATGCTGAGGAAGGGGACGCAGAAGAAGGCACTGAATGTCGGGAGTCCAGGAGGCTTCCTGAAGGAGAACTGGGGGCAGATTTGGGGGAAGAGACTTTCAGACTGAGGAACGTCAAGTGCTGTGGAGTTACGAGGAGAAGCAAGAGGGTCTTCAGAGGGAGGCAGTGGCACTTGCTTCTGGGAACAAACATTCACCTAACGCCTACTCTTAGGGTGGCCGACTCACCCCAGTTTGCTCAGGACTGTCCAGATTTTAGCACTGAAAGTCCCACATCCTGAGAAACCCCTCAGTCCCAGGTAAACCAGGACAGTTGCTCACCCCACCTACCCGCCCCACCTACTAGGCAGTGTGTACAGGATGGCTCGTGTCGACCTCACCACAACCCTGGGGGACAGAGCCCCATTTTACAGCTGAGAAAAAGGAAGCTAAGAAAATTTAAATAACTTGCTTTAATGGCACACAGTGAGTGGCAGGTTTGAAGCCAAGGTCTGTTGTTTCACTGCATTGAGTTGTTTTATCCTAGACTCAGAGACCTTCAGGGACAAACTTAGTAACCCCTCCACCTCCTCCCCCACACACATTCCGACCTCAACAGAGTTTCAAAGTCTTGATGTGAGGCAGTGTCATTTGGACCTACTGCCTGAGTCCCACTGGGCTGGAGCTGGGAGTGGGGGTGGGCTAGAGGAAGGGGGTGCTTCGTCTCCTTCAGCCCAAGGTCTACCAGGGCTTCACTGTGGACTGCCACCTGTTGATTTTTCAGCTTCTCCCCCAGCTGGGAGGAGGACCAGCTGCTGGGGGGCGGAGGCGGGAGGCGGAAACGGGGGGAAGTGTTGAAGGGGGGTGTCTCCAGGGCCTTGCTGGGTTCCTGGGCTCCAGGTGGTGGGTCTAGGGAGGGCTGGCCCAACATCTGAGAGCAGGCTGGGGGCTGGGCCCCAGGAGTCCTGCACTGCTGGTCAGCGCCTCCGGTGTGCTGGGGTGTGAGGAAGTGGCCACAGAGCAAACAAACAGAGCCTGTGAGGACAGGAAGCAATTACGGACCACCCGGCCTAGGCTGCAGAGGAGCTTCAAGTGGAGGGAGGGCAGGCCGAGGCAGGGATAGGCCACCAGCTAGGTGTGGCCCGAGGCAAGGCCAGGGAAGCGGGATGAAGAGGTTCTGGGCTGGCGAGATTCTGGGGAGACCATGGCAGGTATCCCCCTGCCTTTGGGGGACATCTCTCCCACTTAGAAATAACTCCGGAGAAGGGCCACCTTGGTGGGCATGAGGTGTCAGCTTCTAGCTGGGAGTCGTGGCTCTGGGCGGAGCTGCAGCGCTCACGTGCTCAAGGAGCCTCAGTGTTTCCATCTGTATAATGAGGTGGTTGCAATAAATGGTCTTCAACAGCCCCTCCAGGTTTGATAGTCCGCTAATGCCATAAAGTTGCTGACAGCTAAGGATTTCTTAGCTAAAAAGGATTTATTGAGTGCCAGCTGTATGCACACCCTAGGGCTAAATGGTGGGGTTGGGGAAAGAAATTTGGAAGTTTAAGACCTGGGTTCTGTCCTTGGGGAATGATATTATTAAAAAATAATGTGTATTGAATGTTTACATGGGCTGGGAAGTGTCTTGAAATGATCTCATTGAATTTCCTCCCAAATCCTGTGAAGTGGGTACTCTTATTATTCTCAGTTGACAGACGAGGAAACTGAGACGAAGGACAGTTCAGTGACTTGTCTATGATTTCATATCTAGGAAGGGGAGACCCAGACTTTTACCTTTATCAGTATCACCCCAAAGCCAGTGCTCGGAGCCTGGATTCTGTATTGCTTCTACTGTAGATAATAATCCAGTAAGTGCCCACATCCTGTGTGATGTACTTTTCTATTCACCAGCTTACTCCCGCTTCACAAGAGCCCTGTGGGCCTTGTGATAGTCTCGGTACTTTACAGATAAGGTGATTGAGGCTCAGAGAAGTGAAGAGCCCGGCTGCCCTCCTTCCGATGACTGACGTGCATTGCGGTGCAGCCCAACTCCCCTTTGCCCCACCACCCTGGCTCCAACAGAGAGCCAGCAGCACTCCTGCAGTACCTGGCAAGTGTCCCATCTCGTCAGCCCCTGCGGGACAGGTGGACGGGCAGGCAGCATTGGGCCTTGTTCTCCCGCCTGGGTCTCTGCACCCTCCCTTTTTCTCCCCACCCCAAGGGTTTATTGAGCACCTATTGAGCTCCAGGTCTAGTGCTGGGAGGTTCTGTGCATTATTCCCTTAATCTCACAGCTGCTCTGTGAAGTAATTTGAACTCTGATTTTGCAGATGAGAAAACAGGCTCAGGAGCTCCCAGGGAGCCCCTGGGCATTCTGGCCTCCTTCCCTCCCAGGACCCAGTGCAGGAGCTGCAAGGGCCTTGGGGACCTGGGCTTATAGTTCCTTCTCCTTCCCAGGAGCCCCCTCTGTGAACTACATAGCCAAGGCCAGCTCTCCCTCCCTCTCAGCTCCTGGAAACAAGGCCATGTTCAGCCTCTCTCACAGCACCCTCCTTCCCTCCCTCCACCTCCAGCTCCATTTTCTGACTTGCACGGGACTGTGGCTCAGGCCTGCTCAGGCGGAGGCCCCTTTGGGACCCAAGCCACAAGTGCTCTTGTGCTGCCTGGGCCTCAGCTCATAGGTACCGTCTAAAGCTCTGGTACCCGAATTACCTCATTCACTCCTCGCTACCATCCAATGAGGTAGATACTGTTATTATCATCATTCCAATTTTCTAGATAAGGAAATTGAGGCACAGGGAGGTAAATGGATTGCCCAGGGTCATCACCTGGTAAGTGGCAGAGCCAGGATTCACACCCAAGCCAGCTGGTGCAGAGCCCCTGCGCCAAGCTGATGTGTGAAGGTCCTTAAGTGCCATCCTTAAGGAGCATGGCCTTGATCCTGAGGTAAGAGGAAGTAATTGAGGAGCTTAGCCTAGGAGGGACATAATCTGCTTTGCCTGTGAGAACTATCCGTCTGGCAACAGTGAGCAGGGGACGCGGAAGGGCACATGACAGGCAGGGGCACTAGTGAGAAGGCTGGGGCAGCTGGAATCCCAGTAAGGGATGATGGTAGCCTGACTTAGGGCAGTGACAGTGGCCATGGACAGAAGGGGTCAGAGATGGGGGACGTTTGGGGTGTGAAGGCAGAGCCACTGCATTCCACCAGAGGACAAGCGGGGCCTGGAGTGTTGCCGCTGCTCCTCCTGCCTAGCAGTGTGCCCTGCTATGGAGTAGCGTCTGACCCATAAAGGGGTCCTTTTTTCCAAATTGTCTGTCCAGAGGGGCACCTTTTCCATATTGGCTCAAGGCACCATATGGGCTACCTGGGGGCCCTGATTGGATGCCTGTGTGAAAGAGAAGCAGTTTCCAGGAGGCCTCTGCATAGGGTCCTGCCATGACCTTGCTTTTGCTGCCTGCTGTACCCTGGAGCTCCCTCCAAGGTGCGGCGGGTTGTGATAATAGGGGGAAATGTAACATGCATATATGTGTGTGTGTGTATGTGTATAGGGGGGAAGTCTAGAGATAGGAAGTGAATTGTTAACAGTGGCTCTGCTGGGGAGAGAGTAGGGGGATGAGGAGAACTTAACTTTTTGCCATATATACTTAGGTACTGTGTGAATTGTCTTCCCATGAAAACTTTTAGTTCAAAAAACTACTAGAAGTATTTTTAAAAGGAATAAAACCTTAAGGCTCAGGGTTGATGTGGATATCCACTGAGATGATGGACAGCACTTTGCAAATCGAGTGGTTGGGATAACTGATTAGTGATATTCCCATCCCTCCTGTGAAAAAGGAAAAGGCGAAATGTCCCAAGGTTGGTCATTCCCAGGGACAGAGCCCTAGCTGAGTCAGACCGTGGGAAGTAGGTGGTCAACCTCAGCTGCCCTGGCCTCCTCAGTGGTTGCCCTTATCCTATCAGCCCCCTGGGGCCAGGCAGAGTTTGCACAAAAGGGAGCTTTAGTTGTAGCCTTTTGATGGGGCCTTGGGAATCAATGACAAACTGGGATAATAAGTTAATTAAAGCTGTCCCGTATGTGAGGCATCCCAAGGCAGAAGAAAGGCTTGGCCAGGGAGTCACACAAGGCACCTGGACTCCTAAGCCACAGACTCCTTGAGGAACCTTAGGCTAGTCCCTCCACTTCTCTGGGCCTCAGTTTCCCCATCTATATAATAAGGAGATGGGTAGACCTAGTCTCTTAGGGCCATGCCAGCACTAACGTTCCAGAAGTCTCTAATTAAAACTGTCCCCTGTGTATTAATCTTCTTGTCAAGTTTTAATTAATGGCTGATGGAGATGGAGCAGGCACCAGCTGCCACCCCCCTGCTGGGAGGCACGGGACACCCACAGGATGCTTGACCTGATAATCGCTGCTAAGTGGCCTCTATCCCCATCTCTCCACCCCAGGCCTCCTCTCATAGCTCAATGCTTTTTCCCCTACACTACACCACCTGGGGTTTGAGGGTTGGTGTGTGTGTGTGTATTTGCTAGTGGCAAAGGGTATGGCCTTTATCTCAGCTCTACTACTAACTAGCTCTGTGATCTTGGTTTATAACTTAATCTCTCTGATCTTCAGTTTCCTCTTCCATTAAATGGGATAGCATTTGGCTGCAAGTAATGGAAAAAACACTCAAAATAGCTTACACAATAAGCACATTTATTATCCCATAGAGGAAGTCCTAAAGAAGAATATTTCAATGGTTGGTTTATTCAGCATCAAGAACTCCAGTTCTGGGGCCGGCCCGGTGGTGTAGCGGTTAAGTGTGCATGTTCCGCTTCTCGGTGGCCCGGGGTTCACAGGTTCGGATCCCAGGTGCGAAAATGGCACCACTTGGCATGCCATGCTGTGGTAGGCGTCCCACATATAAAACAGAGGAAGATGGGCATGGATGTTAGCCCGGGGCCAAGCTTCCTCAGCAAAAAAGAACAGGACTGGCAGTAATTAGCTCAGGGCTAATCTTCCGCAAGAAAAAAAAAGAAAGAAAAAGAAAAAGTTTAAAAAAAAAAAGAACTCCAGTTCTTTCCATCTTTCTGCTCCACCATTCTCAGCTCTCGGCTTTTGTCTTCAGGCTTGCCCTCTCATGGTCATAAGGTGGCTGTGGCAGCTCTGAGTATCACACTCTAATTCAATAAAATCCAAAGACTGGAAGAAGTAACACCCTTGCCTTATGTCCCCTTTTAAAAACAAGGCAGCCACCCCCAGAATCTCCCAGCAGCTTTCCGTCCATGCCTCTCATTGGCCAGAATTGTGCCACATGCCCAAGCTGAACCTAACCGCATGGCAAAGAGGTTGGAGTTATGACTGGCTTAGAGGAGTCTCCTCAACCCTGGCTAGACATGAGAATTTCCTGAGGTGCTTTGAAAAATTACCAGTGCCCAGACTGTACTCCCAGATCAATTTAATCTCTGGAGGTGGGGCCTGATTACTGGTATTTTTTAAAAGCTCTCCAAGTGAGTCAAATCTGCTTAGACTAGCCAAGATTCAACCCCCGTACCTCAGCCTCCCATCTGCTGGTTCTGATAGAAAAGAGGAAGTGGTGGTGAATGACTATTAGCTGCCCAATATCCACACACACCCTTTGTCTCCTATTCACACCAGGAGTGGGTTTAAACCCATGCAAACACGTGTCCTCCAGAGAATTCCTTCCAGGACCACCCCTGCCTTTAGAATGCAGGGCTCCGCTAAAGCGGTTGCTGCCAAACCTGGCTACACGTCAGAGTCTCCTGAGGTGCTTCTTAGAAATAAAGATTCCTGGGCCTGCCCAAAGGCTATGGAATCATTTAGAAGAAAGCCCAAGAAACCATACGTGTGCATGTGTGTGTACACAAAAGAACCATGTATTTGTTCATTTCTCCGGTGATTCTTAGGCACTTATCCATAGAGCGGTGTTTTGGAATGACTGCCCCACATGTCTCCCTCCTAGGCCTGAAACGGTGCCTGCAAATCCACCATTAGGGTCACTTTTCTAAGTTATCATCCCTAGTCCAGCCTCCCCCATCAATTAACATGGCTTACATTATTGGTTGTTAAGGAAAGGTAGCTGGAAAGTCACTGAAAATCTCTTGGCTTCAGTTTCCTTTTTCTTAAAATGAGCGTAATCATGCTTACCTCATCCGTAATTGCAGAGGGCCCAGGAGACGACAGAGAGTGGTTTGTCAACCTGAATGTGCTGAAGGGATGGTGTGAAGATATCCCTGGACCGGGAGACAGGAGGTCAGTGTTCTATACTGGCCAAGCCCTTTTTACCCTCCAAACTCCCATTTTATAATCTGTGAAATGTGAAGGGTTACATACATGGATGGATTTTTTTTTTTTGCAACATTCTCAGTGACAACAAGAAGAACCTCTTCTGCAGAAACAATTTACCAGTTTAGCAAGTTGCTTTGCCGTGTCCCAATGGGTAGGACAGAAGTCCTCTGTGTTTGGCAGGATGAGGTCAGAGGGAGAGGGCCGGATTGTGGGATTCTGTTCAGGGAAGAAGGGCCAGGGGGTATCCAGGGTGAGGGCTTGGGAAGCCTGAAATGAATAAGGAAGTATTCCTGGGTCTTGGGGATTTCTTTTCTTTTTTCTTTTTTTTGAGGAAGATTAGCCCTGAGCTAACATCTGCTGCCAATCCTCCTCTTTTTGCTGAGGAAGACTGGCCCTGAGCTAACATCCGTACCCATCTTCCTCTGCTTTATATGTGGGACGCCTGCCACACAGCATGGCTGACAAGCGGCGCCACGTCTGCACCCGAGATCTGAACCGGGGCGAACCTTGGGCCGCCGAAGGGGAATGTGCGTGCTTAACCACTTCGCCACCAGGCGGCCCCGTCTTTGGGATTTCTACCAGAGTCTATGAGGTCCTTACCATTGCTCACTGGACTTTCCAATGCCCCTGCTCCAGAAGAGGCTCACTGCTTCACTTAGCCACAGTCTATGGGACACCTAGGCATTGAGGGCTTTGTGAGGTCTGTGGGCCCCAGCCTGGCCCTCCAGGCCCTGGATCTCCTGTTTCCCTACTTCCCTCTGCTCTGCATCTGGCTCCAGGTCAAATGTGAATTTCCTTTCAGCCAGCAGGCCTGAGAGCACCCATCTGTGGAGCCAGCGCTGGAACCAAAGGCCCTCCAGCAAGGAGCTCATCCACCAGCTGAGCCCAGGCTGGAGCTGGGAACAAAGACCATGGGGTATAAGGCCACCCAGGATGTGGGGTTTGGAGGGGAGCCTCTGGATCAGCCGAGGAGGTTTGCTCTGACAAAGACAGTCTGAGGAATAGGGGGATCCAAGATGGAGTGAGGAATCCTGGGTCTAGTCTTTGGAGTACCACTACTTCTTTGTGTGACCTTGAGCATGACCCTGCCTCTCTCTGAGCCTCAGTCTCCTCATCTGTAGCATAAAGGGGCTGGATTAGAATCCCAGACTCATGGACTCTCAAGGTTGGAAGTACTGTTAGCAGCCATCTAGTCCCAGCCTCCACCCAGAGCTTGAGTCCCCTCTGTAGCACCCTGCACAGTGATCACCTAAACTCTACTTGTATACCTCCAGTGATGGGCAGCTCACTTGCTCAAATGGCATCCTGTTTTATCTCAGCAAAACCATCTGTCAGATGTTTCATCTGAAATTGGTCTCCCTGTGGCTTCCATCAATGGGTCCTAGCTTTGTCTCCTGGGGCCACACACCTTATCTTTCCTGTGGCCACCCCTCAGAGGTCTAACTTCAGAGTTCTAGTTCCGCTGAGTCTACTCTTCTCCAGGCCAAATAGCCCCTTCAACTCTGACTGTTCTCACAGAGCCCGATCTATGACCACTTAATGTGTGGGGCCCATAACTGGACCCGGTCCACCAGGTGGGGTCTTGGCAAGGCTGCAGAGGACCAGAACATCACCTCGCTCCTTCCATATGCAATGGTTCTTGCAGCTGAGCCTAAGGTCCCATTGGATTTATCACCTATAGGGTCTCCCCTAGTCTGTGAGCTCTGTGTGAGTGAGGGGCTTTTCTGATTCCTTTCTGTTACCCCAGGGCCCAGGCCAGGGACTTACCCAGAGTTGGCATCACAACTTGTGTGTTGAGGTAGAGTGAGGGGCATATGGGGATGTGTGTATGCATACATGGGCCTGCATCCTGAATTGGAAGAGTGGGCTGGGCCACGGAAGGACCCAGATTATCCATACACGTTCAGGCAGCCTCCTCCCACCCTTCTGCTGGCTACATTGGCCCACAGTGAGGACCTCGCATGTGGGCCTGGTGATACTGGTATTCATCCGTGCCCGAGCCCCAGGGAGGCTGGTATCTCCATCTTCAGTGTCCCAGGGCTCCTGGGAGCCCTGCGTGTCTCTCACAGCTCTGTGTACGACTCCCCAGTGCTGTGTACATCTGTGTGTGGCTGCTGGAGGTATCCTCTGGTGTATAACAGGGACAGGAGGAGGTGGCTGTATCCCATCCGTTGGCAGAGGTGACCTGGGGATCTGTCTGAGGCAATAGGAAATGACTGTGCCCCGTCAGTTGTCAGGGGTATTCCTGGCTGGCTGAGGAGGAGGAGGGTGGTAGCTGAGCCCTATCACTTGACGGGGTATTCCCAGCTGTCTGCATGAGGAGGGGGAGGCAGCTGCCCTAGCAGGCGGCTGGGGTATCCTGGCCATGCCCGCTCTGACACGGCCCATCTCCCTATATGTGTCCTTTTGCCACTCAGCTGTCATCAGCCCCCATCAACACAAGGGAAGTAGTCCCTGCCAGAGCTCAAGGTCATGGGAAGGACACTTCAATTATTCTGCCGTCATCTGTCTGGGTCCCAGTGGAGTGGGCAGCCACTGGCTTCAGGGCTGGCTGGAGGGAATGTGTGCCAGAGAAGGACAGGGCAGATGAAGAGGAGAGGGAGGACTGTGAAGGGGACCCATGGGTCATCTCAAGCAAAGGGAGCCAGTAGAGGCCTCTCCAGACACACAGCCACAGATGGGGCGTTTCCAGAGCCAATTTACACAGTTACTGGAGTGGCAAAGGGAAGCACGGGTTTGCGAGTCAGACAGACCTGGGTAGTGTTCCGGCTTCTGCTGCCTCCTGGCTGCCTGGCCGTTTTCTCAGCTGTGAAATGGGGATGTTGTGAAAAGCACCAAGTCAGGCCCACAGTACACACCCAGGAAATGGAAGGCCCCTCTTGCTGTCCCCTCTCTCCGAGACGACTCAAGTGAGGCAGATGGTGGCTGGCAAGGGTGGGAATACAAATTGCCTTGGGGGGCCTCTACCAGATTTGTTCCAAGCCCAGTCCAGAGTTTCTTTTCTCTTGTTTCCTTCCCCTTGCTGGGAAACCTAGTTGTCATAGAAGATAGGAAGCGGGGGCAGGGGCAGGGGCCAGAGTCCCTGTGAGTGATCCATAGCCAGCTCTGGCTGCCACCTGGGGATTCTCAGCATTCCCCACCTATGCCATCTTTCTAGAAACCCAGCCAGGGACTGAAGACGCACCAACTCCACAGCCTGAAAGGTTCTTCTTCCAGCCCCTTTCCAGAGGGAAGGGTAGGTATTGGCGCAGAGGAGGAACCTAAGGCTCTGTTTAGTGACTTGTCCAAGGTCACACAGCTGTGGGATTGACACAGGATTCAAACCCACCGGACCATACCCACCGTCCCTTGAATCTTCTTTATCGTCACCCTCCCTCCCTCCAGCACCCTAAGCCCCCTGTCATGACAGACTGACTACTCAGGATTTCAACAACACTCCCTGTGTTTTTTTGCCTCTGGGTTTTTTCCTCACCTGGTTCCTTTGGCTTGGAATGTCCACCCCACCCTGCCCCACCCCGCCCCGCCCTGCCCTGCCCAACTCCTCCACTTCCACCCCTTCTCACCTCCTGGGCCTGTGGAAATCCTCCTTATTCTTCAAAGCTATGACGCCTCCTCTGATTCCTGAAAGCTGAAGGACTTCCTGTGCTCCCAGAGGGCTTTGCTGCACTCTTGTCTTATGTCGCTAGAAGCTGTGCCCCCAGAACAGGGGAGGTCTGGGAGATGGTTGAGGCAAACCCTCTTAGCTCTGAGAAGGAGCCTAGGAGAACCAGAGAGAGGAAGGGGCTCCAGTCCTCTCTCGCTTTGCTCCCCGACACTTTGGCCACTGTTCCCTAGTCTCTTTCCTGTTGCGGTTGCTCAGGGCTCTAGGCCCTCCCTTCCCCTCACTCTCCTCCTCTCCCTCCTCCCCTTCCCTCTCCTCGTTTCCTTTCTCTCCCTAGGGGAGCTCAGTCTATGATGAGGCCTTAAGGACAGTATTTCTAACTGCCTCCAGGTCATCTCCACCAGGATGGCCCCCTACTCACCTCAAATTCAACAGGTCCCAACTAAATCCATCAGCTGCCATCCTCTCCATACCTGCCCTTCTTCCTGTGTCCCCTCTCTCAATGGATGGCATCACTACATCCCCACCAGAATTCTGGAGCCATTTTCCCCACTTTTTTCCACCCCCCACCCCCCAACGCCCCCACCCCATGACATCCATCCAATCAACCACCAAGGCCTACCCATTCTACCTCGAACACATGCTGAATCTACCTGCTTCCCTCTGGCTCCACGGTTTCCACCTTGGTCCAGGCCTCTGCGTCTGTTGCCTGAGATTACCTCCTCTCCTGCTTCCATTCTGCTCCCCACAGCCAGCCCACTTACCACAAGGTAGTCAGAAGGAATGTTTCACAAGACAAATCAGACCACGCCACTGCCATGCTCAGAAACCGCAGAGATCGAGCATATAATTCAAGAGCCTACAGGATCTCACCTTGCTCTCCTCTTCTGCCATATTGAATGTGCCGGGCCATCTTCTGCTCCTGAGCTTTGCCCAGGCTACTGCTTCTGCCCAAACACTTGTCCCTTCACCCTTCACTTAGCTAACTCCTCCTCAGCCTCTGGGTCTCAGGTTACCCATGACTCTAGAGTGTCCTTTAGGACTCAGCTCAGGTGCCACCTCTTCCTGGAAGTCTTCCCAGACTTCTCTTCCCCTCAAGTCTGAGTTAGATGCCCCTCCTATGGGCTCTGATCCCCCTCCACCACTCTCCCCTGCCACCCCGTAGATCTCCTATCATAGCATGGTTCATCATGGATTGTAAATACTTGGGTATTTCTTCATTTCTCCCACTAGACCAGAGGCTGGCAAACTAGTCTACAGGCCAAGTCTGGCCTACTGCTTGTTTTTGCAAATAAAGTTCTAATGGACACAGCCATGCCTATTTGCTTACATATTGTCTATGGCTGTGTTTACACTACAACAGCAGAGTTGAGTAGTTGTGAGAGACTGGGAAGCCCCACATAATTGCTATATGACCCTTTACAGAAAGGGTTGCTGACCCCTGCTCTAAACCATCTGCCCCACGAGGGCAGGGACAGTGTCTGCCTGGGTCGTGCCTGGGCCCTCAGCACACAGCACAATGGCCAGTGGTTGGCAGGTGGTCAAGAAATTGTGCTTGAAATATATATGGTCATAGAGTGGGGGTCCCTGGATCCCCACGTAGGCTCTGACCTTTGGTTTCTCAGTTCTGTGTCCCAAGGTGACAAGAGTGAGGTCAGATTCCCTGCATGTTTCCAGCCCAGAGGACAGAGAGTCCAAGCCCGTTGTGGAGCATGGCAGGGCCCTGGGCTGCCCCCCTGTCGAGGATGTGGATTCCCACCTCAGTGCTATCCCCAACACTAAAGCAGTGGTTCTTAATCAGGGACAACTCTGCCCTCCCCGGGGGATATTTGGCAATGCCTGGAGACATTCTTGGTTGTCATATATGAGGGACCAGAAGGGGGTTGCTGCTAGTGGCACCTAGTGGGTAGAGCCCGGGGATGCTGCTAAACATTCTGCAAATGCACAGGACAGCCCTCATAACACCAATTATCTGGCCAAAAACGTCAAAAGTGCTGAGGTTGAGAAATTCTGCTCTAAAGCAGGGGTTCTCAGGCCTGCATGTTAGAAACACCTGATGCTTGGGCTCTCAGCTCGATCAATTAGAACAGAATCTCTGGGCTGGGGCCCAGGCATCGGCATTTGTACAATCTCCCCGGGTGATTCTAATGTGAAACCAGTGCTGAGAACCTCTGGGCTAGCGCCTGCTTTCTGGGAAAAGTTTCCAAGGATGGACCTGCACATAGCCCCAGATCACCCACGATAGTCTTTGCCTCCAAACATTTGGCCCCACGGCCAGGCCCTGGGGCCTGCTGCTCATCTTGGCAGATCTGGCTGCTGCACTTGTCGGGTATCTCTGAGCAGTGAGGGGCCAGCAGAGCCCCTCTCCTCCCCTTTCCCTCCCCTGCCCATCTCTGAAGGGGGAGGGGTGCTGGTGGAGGAGAGGGGAGGGGCTGGGGAGCACAGCTGGGATTCCAATCACCTCCGACCACAAAAATCCATATCAAGCCATCTCTTCCCCCACTCCCCCTTCCATGCTGGGCTGTGGAGAGAAGCACCCCCTTCCTGAAAGCAACCCAGAGGCCCCAAGCTGATGTGGAGAGAGGGGCTTTGCAGTGTGGAGGTTGGGAAGGAGGGGTGGGAGCCCCAAGCCTCCTGAGCTGGCCCTAGTTTGGGGGATGTGTGTGAAGCTCTCCACGTCTCTTAAATCCAGGGCCTGCGCAGCCTCCCTGGCTGGGAAAAGGAAGACACTGGCTGTGTGAGGGAAGGTGGGTTTCTCTGTCATGGCACAAAATTTCTCTCTCCCTCTGAACCAGTGACTCCACAGGGGCAGACCCAGCCTGGCTCCCTCGTCCCCTCTCCAAGATGGAGCTGGGGATCTATCCCAGAGTGTGGGTCTTCCTCTTCAGGGACAGCCTCCCACCAGCCTCCACTCCTCTTCTGGGCTAGCCAAGCCCTGATCCCAGCCTAGGCAGTTCCAGTCAATGCTGCTTAGCCACTGAGTGCTGGGAGGAGGGGAGGCCTGAGAGAGCAGGGCCAGGTTTCCACGGGATTCCCTGACCAGGAAGACTTCTCCAGCCCAGGGGCTGCTGGGATTCAAGATTAGAGAGGCCACAGTTCAGCCAGGGTAACTGACAGTAAGCTTATAAGGAAGGGAGTAAGCTAGGCCAGATCTGGGCTTCGGGGCAGACTCCTGGGGCTTAAACTGGGAAACTGTTGCCAGAGGCACAAACAGAGTAAAGCTGAGAGGCAGATTCATGTTGCACAGAGTTAACCCTGGCGGGGGCTATCTCAAAATGACAGGCAAGGCTCCCGAGAGCCCCAGAGCGAGAGGCTAACTGCCCTGCTTTGGTGAAGGGAACGGAAGGGAGCTGGGAAATGACAGGCAGGTGACAATGCAGTCAGACTTTGAAGCATGAGGAAGAAATTGCAGAAGATAAAGAAGAGTCATCAAGTAGGAGGACACAGTGGTTGCAAATGCCCAGAGGTGCGCCCTGCCTGGGACACATTGCGTTGGGCCTTGCGGATAGAACACACGGTGTGAGTGGGCCAGGGACGGAACTGAGGAGCGGGAAGGCATGCTCAGAATGGGAAGGTCTGTGTGTCCACCGGATGAGAAGCCTGACTTTATCCCGAAAGCCATGGGGAGCTATGAAGGTACTCGAAGCAGGGTAAGTGATATGATCAGATTTGACATGTATGACATTTCTTCCCCTCATGGTTAGAGAATAGACTGGGGCATGAAAGGGTCTAAAGACCTGAAGACAAGGGACCATGTGGAGGCTGGTACAATGGCCTGGGTGTAGGGCCGTGCAGTTTATGACAGAAGGCCTAAGAGGTGGCAGAGAGCCACTGTGGAGCTGTACCACTTGAATGTCAGTGTGAGGAAGCCTGGGCAATTTCGGAAACTCACATCAGAGTTTCACTCACTTGCTTAAAACATTCTAATGGCTCCTGACAGCTCTTAGGATAAAGTCTCAACTCCTTCCAGCGACCTATGAGGCCTGGGTGCCCTGGTGCCCAGCCACTTCATCAGCCTCATCTCTTGCTAGGCACAGCACCCACCTCCGAATTCTTAGCTTCGGCTATTTATGCAGCTTCTTTTAGTCTCTTGAGAGCTGCACACTCCCCCTTACCTCTGCCCTTGGCACATGCTCTTCTCTGCCTGGAATATTCCAGCATGCACCCCCCCTGCCCTCCCTTCACCCTAACCTGACAACCCCATACAGTGGGCTCCAGCCTACTCACCATTCAGGTCTGAGCTTTCTGGGAGGTCCTCCATGATCCCCACCCCTCTTATGGTCTCCCTTGGACCCTTGGACTGCTCTCATCTTGACCCTTAGTAACCCGGATGGTAATTTTCTGTAAGCCGTGGGAGGGCGGGGATCATGAGCAACTTGTTCACCACCATCCCCCAGCTCCATGCACAGTGCTGGCACGTGTTCAATCAATATGGAAGGAAGGAAGGAAAGGGACACGTCAAGAATGATGCTCAGCTGATGGATGGTGATATTGCTCCTAGAGACAGAAGATGAACTTTATTTTAGGGGGTGGGGAGAGAGAAGTTTAGTTTTGGCCCAGTCGAGCTAGAGGTATCTGAGGGTCACTCCAGAGGACATATCAAGTAAGCCGTCAGCTCTGTGGGCCTGGAGCTCAAGGAGCAGTTTGAACTGGACCAGTCTGCCGAGAGGTGAGAGCTAAAGCTGTGGGAATGAATTTGAAACTTGATGTTTTTGATTCCTAAGTAAACAGCCAGCCAAGAACCAGTATATTTTGAAACACTGGTGGCCAAGGACGTGACAGGAAGAGGTGGAGGGAGGCAGCAGGAGGTGGCGCCCTCCCCCTGTAGGGTTGAGGGGGATCCCCTCCTCTGGAACTGACCCAACTGTGACACAGCTCCACAAGGAAAGAGGGCCCTGGCTGAGGGGCCTGGCTTGGGTAGGAGGGCTGGACAGAGTAAAGGTTCCTGGCCGCTCTGTGCCCCTCCCCCCACCAGGTGCACCCAGTGCTCCCTGGGTCCTTCCCCCAGCTGGAGCCTGTAGACCCCAGTTTGCTGTGAGTCTCCCATCTTCATGGACTCACCAACACCCCCTTCCCACCACCTCTTCGCTGCCCTAGCAGGCCTCTGTAACTCAATGCTCCTGCTCCTTCCTTAGCTGGGCCCAGGAACCCTGCCAAACATTGTGCTTCCTGGCCTGGGGATGACTCAGGCTTCCCTCCCCAGCACCACCCCACCCCCAGCCCCTGAGCCACGCTGTAGGCTGAGCAGGGAGAGAAGCTGAGGGGCAACTTGACTCCAGGAGGTAGGGTGCTGAGGAGGCGGGCCCAAGCCCCTGCTCCTCACACCAACCAGGTGGCATCCACAGGGCCTGGGGGTCCTGCAGGCAAAGTGTCAGGGCCAGAGATTGCTGTGAGGCTCGGGAGCTAGCATTAAGTCTGACATGATAGTGCGCTAGGAAGCAGCGAGTCAATAAGTGCCTCTTAAGTTGCAAGCTCAAGCACTGTTTGCAGCACGCCAGGCCTTCTCGCCTAAAGCCTTCGAGTTTTCCACTGGAAGTGGAGGGG